CCCCCCCCCTCATCCCTCCTGGCTCTATCTTGACGCCGGCGTCGCCCTGTCCTCTCCCATGCCGCGCTAAAGAATACACCCCTAGAAAACTTGACCCTGCCTTTGTTTTTCGTCCGGCCGCTTTGGCGCACGCGGGGGAGAGGGGCGAAAAAAATGCGGCACAGGGCCATCTATATTGCATGGGTTTTCAAGACAAGGATGCGTGCGTCCCCAGGGCACACCATGGCATTGGTGTCCTACGCCGGTGCTCAGGAGGCCACCCAGGCCTCGGACTGGATGCGGCCCTGCTTGACCAGGCCCCGGACACGGTCCATGCCCTGGTCGAGCTGCTTCGGAGTCGGGATGAAGTCGTCCGGTGCCCCGGCCGTGACCAGAGCACGGGCCACCGCCATCTGCACCATGTCCGAGAGACGGGCGCCATTTCTGCGAGCGACCAACAGGCGTCTCGTTTGTCAGTGAGGAATTAAAATGTGGGAAGGGGGGGGGGCGGCGAGAAAAGAGAGGGGCGGCATGTAGCAGCGCCAGAGGAGGCCCGGCAGAGACGGCGCGCACCCGCAAATGAAGAGCCGCGCATCGCGCTCCAGCAGCCAGCTGGCAACCAGATTCGCCACCGGGCGGTATTCGGCCAGCAGATCCTGCACATAGAACCGGCGCCCGCCGGCTGGCGGGGCCGCGACAGGGGAGCCCCCCGTCCCGGGGGCCGGCGAGAACTCCCACTCATCGGGGCCTGGCGCGTCGGCCAAGAGCCGGCCGACCGCTTGCTCGCCGGCTTCGGAGTCCGGGCGCGAGAAGGCGCACCACACGCCGCCCCCGGTGCCGGCCGACGACGCACGGGCCACCGGCCTCAGCAGGTCCGCCAGGCAGAGGGCCTCCACACGGCGGCGGAAGCCAAGCACCAGCAAAATGGGCGGGAGCTGCGGAGCCGGTACCCGGCGCAGCAGCTGCTGCAGGTAAGCCCGGAAGGGGGCCAAGCCCGTTCCGGTGGCCACGAAAACCAGCGGCGGCAGCGCCGCACCGGGTGCCGGGAGTTTCATGGACCCCGGCACCGGGGCATACCGGAGAGAGTCGCCTGCGCCCGGGGGCAGTCCGCCATGGAGAGAGAGAGAGAGAGGAAAAGACCGGAGGAAAGGCCAATGGGCCCGAGGTCACCAGGGTCAGTGGCAGCGACGTGGATGGGGCGAAGGCCGTGCTGTGCACCTTCCCCCGGATGTGTGCAAATAGGCACACCCGCCGGGGCACATGGCACATACCTGCCTCCAGCGAAGCGAGCCAGCGCGTGCAGGTGCCGACGCGCGGCTTCAGCGGCCCACCTCGATCGGCATCGGCCGTCGAGTAGTGCACCACACGGGCGATCAGCGAGATGGCATTGGTCTGGCAGTCGAGTTGGCACACGCGCATTGGGGTCTCAGTCACACGGCCTGCGTTGTGTGTGTGTGTGTGTGGGGGGGGGGGGGGCGCGCATGGGGAACGAGAGAGGGAGGGGGAGGAGGGGGAGAAACAAAAAGGAGGAAGAGGAAATACCTGCTCCGGATCGCTTGCGATGCTGTACACGCGTGGCTGCATGGGGCTAAAAAGGCCCCCCGGCGCCAGGATGTCCTCCCAGTGGAACCCGGTGCCGGAGGGGGCCCCGGTAACCGCCGGCCGGTGGGGCTCGCTGCCGCTGAGGGACAGCCCCTCGAGCTGGGACGCCGTGAGGCGGGGCTGGCCAGCCTGCAGCAGCAGCTCGCCGACCACCGGCCGGGCGAGGCTGCGCTCGGACAGGCGGCAGCCAAAGAAGTCGGCCACCACCTCGAGCGCCGTGCGTCGGCCGCGGCGAATGTACGCATTGTACTCGTTGCGCTCGATCACGCGCGGATCCAGGGGCATTTCCTCCAGGCCGAAGCGCCGCCGGATCGCGAGGGGGGCAAACTCGGCCAGGCGATCGCGCTCCTGGGCCGAGCGCGTCCTGCCAGCCATGCGTGCCAGTGCCCCCGGCGAGGGGGCCGAATTGAGGTCCAGCGCGCGGGCCAGGAATTCCCGCAGCGGCACCGGCCGAGTGCGTGTCAGCCCCGACAAGGGGCACCCCTCGAGAAGATGGCATTCTTTGGACGTCGCGCGAGGAGTGCCCGTGTGAGCCTGACGCCGGGCGTTTCCACCGAGCGAGTGACAGGAAAGGGCGAGGGGAAAGGCAGACTAGTCACAGCAGTGCGCGACAGCCAGACAGGGCACGCACCAAACAGGTCCTCCAGCGAGTCCCCCTCCTCCAGGGCCAGGAGGCTGACCAGGCGGTCGCCATGGCCCGGGGGGATCCCCAATGCGTCGAGGGCCTGGGCGACTGCGTCCGCCGGGTTTCGCGGCCAAAGGGCCAACGCGTCGCCCGCCTGCAGCGGGGTGGCAGGGCTTGGCACGGGGAAAGGCGGGACTGTGAGTCGAGAGCACTTGAGGGCCGGGGAAGGAGGAAAGAGAAAAGCCCAGCACCCCTGCCCGGTTGCACCGCCCGAACGCACAGTGTGCGCAGGGCGAGGATCAGCTCTCGGACCTCCCCCTCGGCGCGCAGGTCCAGCGCATCGGGAACCGTGCCGGCAATCACCCGGTTGCTGCACAGCACCAGGCTCGCGTGCTCGTCGGCCGGCCGGGCCAAGGGGGGTGCCCCAGCGTCCGGGGCAAAGTCGGACATGCTGTCGCCGAAAAGGGCGACCACGCGTCGGGCCGGATCTACCCAGCCGGCCGAGGTGCCGCTGCCGTCCTCGGTGCCCGGGACCAGGCCCATGCTCTTGAAGATCCCAAGGGCCCATGCATCGAAGGTGGCTTCCTGCTCGTCGTCGCCGGCCCGCGCGTCCAGACAGGTGGCAGACGCGACATCGGTGGCCGGGTCGATCGACCGGGCGCCAAGCTGAGCCAGGCGCCGAGCGAGCTTCTTAGCCGCAAAGTTGAACCTGGCCCAGCAAGCATCGGTGTCAGTGTGTGCCCCTTCGCGGTGCGGGGGAGGGGGGGGGGGGTACATGAGCGAGGGCACGAGCGGACGGAGCGCGCGACAAAGGCCTGACGCCTCGCCCCAGCACGTACTCCTTGTATGAGCTGTCGCCAAGGCCGAGGACCGAGATGCGGGTGCCGCGCGCGGCGAGCCAAGTCCGAGGGAGGCTGGCCCGGAGGAGCCGTCGCCAGGCAGCCTGGCCAAATGCGCGAAGCAGGGTGAGCAGCATGGGTGAGCGAGGGAAAAAGCACACGAGGAGGGACCTCGCCCGCGGGACAGACCACCGCCCGGGGTCAATCCATCGGCCAGTGGCAGGAGTAGACGCACGCGCGAGGGCACCGGGAATTCCCCGGCGCCAGTGGTCGCCATGACGATGGCCACGCGTGGGTGCGCCGGCAGGGTGTCCTGCGATGATGGGATCGCGGTCGAGGAGGAGGAGGAGGAGGAGGAGGAGGAGGAGTGAGTGGCTGCCGAGAGCACTCCAACCAGAAGGCCGATGTCCTGCGCACCATGTCAAAGTGTTCCAGGCTTCGCAGGGAAATGCGATCAGCCGGCCGGCCAGCCTGTCGGCAGAGGCGCCGACCGGCCATAGCCAGGCGTGTGGCATGGGCGGCCGCCGTGCCGGTCTGCGATCCATACAGGATAAGCAGCGTATCATCAGACGCGCTCATAGGGGAAGCGGGGGGGGGGGGGTCAATCCCGGGAGGGAGGATGCCAAGAGGGAGGGGTAAATCCACGCGCGTGGGGGAGTGGCGGGCATGCTGGCGTGCTCACGCCGGTGGTCCGGCCCGCCATGAAGACCACCCGGCCGAGATCTCTCCCTCCCGGGGGGGGCGGGGGGGGGAGGGGGACGGCCCCGCGCCGGATGCCCCCGTTCCTTGTCGCGCCCCCTCGGTCCTGCTCCTTGTCCGGGGCCCGGCCGGGCGCGGCTTCGATCGCCGTGTGGCGAGAGCCTGACGACGCCGGATTGCCAACGAAGCAGTGTCGCCCTTCGGCGCGTCCGCGTGATTGGATTCGAGCAAAGCTCCGGCGCTTCTTTCCCGTTGGGCCGGGCGGCCGGGGGTGGGAACGCGCCGGCGCGCCTTAACATACCGAAGATTGGGGCCGCCAACAGCGCGGCGGCCGGGGCTGGCCTCATCTGGAAAATGGGACGCGGGGCCGGGCGCGCCCGGGAGGCGGGGACCGGTTCCGGGCCCGGCGAATCTGCCTGCCTGGCGCGTGAGGCTGACACCTGGGCCAAAGGCCCCAGCAGGGGCCGGGCCGGGCTGTGCTCGCGCGTGGTGGAATGAGTGGGGGGGATGCGGGCGGGAGTGCGCGGCGTAAAATACCCCCCGGGTTGGTCTGAGGGGCACCTTTCACAGAGGGGGGGGCAGACTCCATTTCAGGGGCAATCGGGGTGATCCCCCGGATCCCTCGCCAGCCGGGGGGCATCATGGAAACGGGGCGGGGCGGGGCGGGGCCACCATCCGCCGGGTTCAGCCTCGCGCGCCGCGGACTGGCGTCTAGCCAAAATCAATGGCCAGCAGCCGGGCCACCCTCAAGGGGCCCCGCCCAGCTGTCCGAGCCCAGGGCCCAGCGAGACATCCTCTCCTCCCCCTCCTCCTCTTCCTTTCCCCCACTTTTCTCCGCTCCGGCCCCCGGTCTGTTGCTTGGCCGTTGCCAGTGAGTTTGTGCTTCCTCTCAGGTCCTTAACACAAGGACGCACGGGTGAGTGCGCATCCGATCGCAGGTGCCCTTGCTCATCCCCAGGCGCATCAGCACACAGGCCCACCCCTTTGGCCAAGACCCTTGCCCGGTTGCCGGCCATCGCGTCTGCTTAATTGCCCCTCAGCCCGAGGCTCCCCCTCTCCCGCCTCTGCCCTCCCTCCGACCCTTCTGCCCTCCCTTGCGCTTTCTATCCGACCCCCGGGCATGGCCGACCCACCCGGTGCTGGCGACCCGCTGGCCGGCCGCCGGCCAGTCCACCCCACTGGCCAGGGCGAGGTGCTCTATGACGATCTGTCCTTCGAGGGGATCGGCGCGGCAATCAACAACAGCCGCCTGGGGCCCGGGCCGCCGGCCGACCCGCGCGTGGTGCCCCTGTCGGAGTACACCGCCAGCGAAGATCCACTGTCCGGACCGATGCCCGGGGCCGCCGAATCGGCCGACATGCAGCAGCCATCGCCCACGGACTCCTCGGGCCAGGACCCGGGCTACGGGGGGACCGTCGACTCGACGGATCAGCTTTTCGTCGCGCCGCTGGTCCTCGATGACGAGGAGGATCCCGGACAGACGCAGCCCGGCGAGGAACCTGGCGCCGATGGCGGTGACGGCGGCGGCGGCGGTGGCATGACTGTTGAGGACGTTCGACACTACGTTCGCCAGATCGACCACATCTTCCGGCCGGTGCTGATATGCATGTGCCTGGTCATCTGGTGGGTGAAGGTGGAGGCCGTGATGCGTGCCGACACGGATGGCATGCGGTGCGTTGGGCTGCTTCTGTGCCCC